AAATAAAATCTAAAAAAAAAAAAAAAAAGGAACTGAAGGGAGGTCTTATGAGGACATAGTGAGGTGGTAGTCCATGAGCCAGGAAAAGAGTCCTCAGAAAGAACTAAATCAGCCAGCACCCTGATCTTCAACTTCCCAGACTCCAGAACTGTGAGAAATTAATGTCTGTTGTTTAAGCTACTTAGTCTGTAGTACTTTGGTAGGACAGCCTGAGCAGATGAAGAAAGGGTTAATATTCAGACTATATAAAGAACTCGTGCAACTCAACAAAAGCAAACATGATTTAAAATGGACGAAGAACTTGAATAGATGTTTCTTCAAAGATATACTATACACACGGCCAATAGGTACATGAAAAGCTGCTCAACATCACTAATCATTAGGGAAATGCAATTTGAAACCACCAGGAGATACCACATCCAACCCATCAGGATGGCTACTATAAACAACAACGACAAACACAAAACACCAAGTGTAGCTGAGGATGTGGAGAAACTGGAACCGTTGTGTATTACTGCTAGGAATGTAAAATGGTGCACCTACTATGGAAAATAGAATGGCAGTTCCTCGAAAAATGAAAAATAGAATTAGCATATGATCTGATAACCCCACTTCTGGGTATATTCCCGAATAGCTGAAAGCAGAGTCTCAAAAATATACCTGACATCCATGTTCATAGCAGCATTATTCACAATAGCCAAAAGATGGAAGTAACCCAAGTATCTATTGATGGATGAATGGATAAACAAAATGTGGTATACGCATCCCGTGGAATATGAGTCAGCCTTAAAAAGGAAGTTTGATACATGTCACAACACGGATGAACTTTGAGGACATTATGCCAAGTGAAATAAACCAATCAGAAGAAAACAAATACCATACACATGATTCCACTTATATAGTCAAGTTCATAGAGGCAGGAAGTGAAATGGTGGCTGCCAAAGGCTGAGGGGAGGGTGGCATGGGGGTTCCTGTTTAATAGGTATAGAATCCAGTTTTGTAAGGTGAATACAGTTCCGTGTTTGAATGGTGCACAACAACACGTATGAATGTACTTAATGCCACAGAACTGCACACTCAAAAATGATTATGATGTTAAATTTTATATTATGGGTATTTTAACACAATTCTTTAAAACGTGGTAAGTAAACCAAAACCAGCAGTATAGGAGGGAACTGGAGACTTTCAAATCTATTTAGGTGGAAGCGTCTTGAGCCACGTTATTTATTTGGTCCCAGTTCCGGGCCCTGCCTGCTAGGCAGAGCTCAGAAAGGAACCATATACAAGAGTGTGGGCAGGATACGGAGACCAAAAAGGGAACGTGGAGAACCCTCCAGCTAGGGCTGTTATCACCCCAAGGTTGCAGGGCTCAGGGTCGGAAGCAGTTGGAACCCAGAGAGACTAAAAGACAGAAGCTGTGGCCTTCGGTAAAGAAATGCAACCCACTCACGGAGACTCCTTTAGGAGGGAGGTCGGGGGAAAAATGCCTCAAATTCATCCTCCCACTTTCTTCAATCTGCTGCTCACTGCTCTCACTGGAAGAAAGAGAGGAGACGTGGGGGGCAAAGAGAGGAAGCGCAGGACACTGGCCCTGCTCCCTTGGCCGGGCCAACTTCAAAGCCACCTTCTTAAGCAAACTCATGTATTTCCCCTCTAGAAACTTCTCTCAGTGCAGGGGGCCTCACAAGGGCTCTCAGACTTGCCTGCCGACTTATCTGCTGGGGAGCTGCGAAGCCTTCCCAGGGGCCAGCCTCCGGGCATTTGCCTGAGTGTGGCCGACCCTAGCCTGGTGTACAACACAGACCCTGAATAGCCAGCTGTCCCCATTTCTATTATTTGTTCTCCCAGACTCGAACCCTCAGTGGCATCCTGGGCTCCTCCCTAGGGCTCCCATTTGTCTAGCCTGCAGCTGCCCAGGCTGGGGGATGGGACTCATGCAAGGTGTCCTAAGACAGCCCTGCCTTTCTCTGCAGCAGGGACCTGAGTAGCAGCTCTCACGCTTGCCCCGGTGGGTAGGAGGTGGGGAGTTCCTCCTGAAACTCGTCCTTCCCCCAGATTCCTGACAGATTTCTCAAAGTTCAGCTGGGATCATCACTTCCTGCTCAAAATCCTTCGTCTTAACTTATTTTTAAGCTAACATTTATCAACACGGACTATTGTGCCTGGCACGACGCTCAGCGATTGCCAGAGATTAGTCTCTCTAATGCTCCTGACTGCCCCATGAGTCAGCCATTGTCACCCACACTGTATAGTCGGTGACAAGAGAGGCTGAGAAGTATCCACAAACTTCCCCAATGCAGGCCTGGGCAATACCACTGCAGGCCAGGCACCCAGGCCTGGGCTCACTGCTCCTCCTTGCCCCAGATTCAGGGACCACCCAGCTGGGCTTGGCCACATCCCACTCACCACTTTCCCTTCTCCACTTGGCCAGCAGGCTCCCCCAGTTCTCATCTTGGGGCATTCATCTGGAGATCTCTCTCTATGAATGTTCTATTCCCTTTCTAACTCCTGCCTCTAAAACTCCAGAAAACTCTGCTGTTTTTTTTCTAGCACTTTCATACCCTGTCTGTGGCCTGCTCCCATCTGAGCTGTCCTGGTCTCTCACCTGGAGGCTGCAACAGCACCCTCTACCCAGTCCCCTGGTCACTGGGCCCGGTCCATCTCAATCATGAAGCTCTGCTCTGCTCTGTCCCACGGGTAGCTTCCAGCTCCTTGAACATGACCAGCTAGTTCCCACCAAAGAGCTTTGCATTCTATTTCCTCCATCTGGACTGTTTCCCCAGCCCTTCACATAGTGGGGTACCTTCCCCCCAGTTCATCTCAGCTCAAAAGCACTCCCTCTTAGTAGGTGTTTTTTTTCTATTCTCTTGAGCAGCTCTTCCACTCCATGCCACAATCCGGTTCATATCTTCAGAGCCTTCATCACCAAGTTAAGACTATCATAGTCATTGATTATCTGCCTCCCTCTACCACCATGGAAGCACCGTGACAGCAGGGCCTTAACCATCCTTGTTTCTCATTGTGTTCATGGCATTTACACTAGGGCGGGGGTGGGGGGCATATAGTAGGTGCTCAACAAATAGTTGCTAATGGATATTTAGCTTCTGCCTTTCATTGAAGAAACGAGTGCTAGTATCTCCCTGCCCCTCCCTCATTAGGCAGCATGTGGCCCTGCAAATGGGGTGTCATTCATTGAGTACATACTGAATTAATGGGCAAATACAATACAGAATTATAAAGCAATGACAATCTTTTTCCTTATACATGAGTCTTTTATTTGTCTTTAAACAAGTGGGAAACAAATCTAGTCCCAAAATTGCTTTCAGGCTGAGAACCCCATTGACACAGATACAGTGCCTCCTAGCATTATTACCTTGAAAATAATATTCACACTGATGCATAAGCATTAGCATTATAAAAATTCATCTCAATCACTTATAACATGCTTGAGAAATAGTTCCTAAAGTTATTCAATACTAAATCTTAAAATCACATACTGCTTCATCTTGTTTCCTGGACTTATTCCTGAAGGGTGGCGTTTTAAATTTTTGGTATGTGTCCTAGTTTCACAGTAGTAGTAAATAATACTTTCCATTTTTACGGTTTAGGATTTCAGAGATCTTAAATGAAACATAAAAATAAATTAAATTATGTTAGATGCTTAATGGTAGCTGACGGTAACCACAGATTTAGGGACCCAGTAATTTAAAGGATCAAGTCTAAGTATCTTGTCTTTTATCCAACTTTTTTTGTGTCTTTGTTCCCAAGTGGGGCCCCTAGATCAGGTGGGACAAGGGGCAGAATCCAGTGATGTCAGTGGCACAGCCTCCAAGGCAACAGGCAGGCCAGTTCTGACTCATTCTGTTCTACTTCCTCTAGGAACAATGCAAGGACGGCAGGGCACAGCACTCCACCCGCCCGCAGAACCCCTGTGCCCTCACCAACATGCCTCAGTCCTCCTAAACTACCAAGACCCAGGAGGGAGGGCACAAAGCCTCCCCCCAGCACTGCTGAGCATAAGTGCAAAATAGGGAACTTCTGTGACAACAGCCTCCGTCCACAGGTAGAAAGGTAGGTCCTCTCGCCACATCTGCTGCCCCCTCTTTGCTCACTATACTTTAGCCACACTGGCCTTCTGCCAAAGAGAAACATAAGCCAGGAAGAAGCCGGCACCAGCTCTACAAAGTCTGGAGAGGCTGCCTTCATGTGCCACTATGTATATTACAAATGAGAGTCAACAAGAGAAACGACAGAGGGTCATCTTACTGGTCCTCCTGCTAAGAAAGCGGTTTACCAACTCAGGAGTTGTGGTAGAAGAATCCCACCCACACTCCACTTCTGATTCAGAGGGGAGAGCACTGGCGGGAGCTCTTCCACAGTGTCACAGTCCACCATGGCGGTGGCAAGCTCTCCAGCCAGCGGGGTCCATGGGTTACAATGCAATGAGACTTCCTCAAAGGGCTCGTTTCCCCTTCAGTGCTTTTTTTTTTTTTTTAAGATTTTATTTATTTATTCATGACAGACAGAGAGAGAGAGAGAGAGGCAGAGACACAGGCAGAGGGAGAAGCAGGCTACATGCTGGGAGCTTGACGTGGGACTCAATCCCGGATCTCTAGGATCACACCCCGGGCCGAAGACGGTGCTAAACTGCTGGGCCACCCGGGCTGCCCCCCTTCAGTGCTTTAATCATGACTACTGAATTTCTCTTCCCCCCTGGAAGGTGTGTGTTCACCTCTGATCATTTCTCGTCACTCATTTTGCATCTCCCGTCAGAGACAGGGTGTCCTCAGGAGACCAAGGGAGGGATTCACCTGACAAGGGCCCAAGCTCTCAGCATGTATTTGTGCTTGGTGGGGAGGGGACAGACAACCAATTTAAAAACCAAAGTAAGTTCTGAGCTTGGCAAAATAAAGACTATCTATATAGGGGAAAAATTAAGACTGGATCTGATTTCTGTCTTGCTCCTTGCTCAACGATGGTGGTCTTCTCTGATATCGTACCTTCAGTCTCATGATTGCTGATAGTCTCACAAAGGGCACCCATCAGGGAGAAGTGGATCTTCTATGATGATGACATTGTCCTGGAAAGGTAGCCCTAAGTCATGAGAGCTTGCAGAGTTCAGAAGAGCAGGGCCTCAACTGGATCCCAACCACGCAGGGTGCTGTGGCCCAGCAGGTGTGGCATGTCAGGAGGCTGGTGAGGGAGGGCCCCTGGCAGTCTGTCTGAGGAGCCGAAGGGCCTCTGGGGATGAGGGAGACAGGCAGGAACTGGGCCATCAAAACAACACTGAAATTCTGAGGTCTCCCACTATAGAGTCTTTGGGGACATACTGAATACTTGGCTGTCTGGCACCTCTCAGTGACAAAAAAAACAAACAAACCAAAACTATGGTGGTGGCAGGGACCAATGGTAGCGGAGAGGTAGCAGTGTGGCCCTAGGAGCCGTGGAGAGGTGTCTGCAGGATGGCAGGCAGCAAGGCCTTGGGTGCAGCAGCCATCCCAGAAAGCACCCGGCCTGTGGCAGGGGTGCGGTGGGGTGGGGAGAAGGCAGAGGGTTGGCAGGAGCTGTGCCTGTTAGCAGTCTGTGTTCACTTAGGGGATCATCAAAAAGAAATGAGGGAAAGATAGAACTTTCTGGAGCTTATACAGGTTCCGTGGGGCCACGGAGCTAACTCTCACCTGCACCATCACCCTGGTTGCCCCCCGACTCATGTCCACCCTGGTGGACACCCCCTCTGAGTGATGGGCAAAGTCTGTCCCTTCACACAGACTGTGAGAGTCTGTCATTCCGCTGGATTTCCCTATTGTTACTGGATTAAGTTAAATCACCCAATGCAGCTGATTTCTTGTTTTCGCATTCCTGAAATATTCTTTTCTAACCCACAGGCTTCAGCTATGTTCCTGTAATGCCAGCTGGCTAATGAAAGCCACTGCTGTGCTTTGCAGGGTTAATTTATTCAGTGCCTGGAATATGCTCTCTCTTTCCTCGGCATGACACGCTTCTGGTATTGTGTTTTAAATATATACAATAGCTGCAAATATGAGGGATAATGTTGCAGGCTGCTCCTGGGACTACTTTGTCATTACTTGTCCCTTGCAGAGTTCTCAGGAGAAAATCTACAAGGAACAGCAGTGACAGCAACGGCTCTGTGCCCTGTCCCTAGGGTGAGAGCTGGAGACAATTGTGGAACGGCACTGAAGCTGCCCCCTAAGGATGGGCTTTGTGATACAGTTGAGTCTTCACTTTCAGTGAAGAAAGACAGTCCCCTGTCCCTCAAAAACCATAGCAGGAGCCATGCTGTAAAGCCGCCCCCAACCTTCTCTTTGTTTCAGGGTACGGCACATTTCATGCTCTGCCCACTCCTTCCAGGTGTCTTCCAGACCCAGAGCTACCAATAACTGGCAGCTTTGGGTCAACTAGTCTCCAGGTATCCCTAAGGCCATGCCACGCCCAGAACAGTGGGCTTCCCACCCCTGATTCCTACTCTCAGCCTAACTCCTACAGTCCTTATAAAACTCTGCTTCTGGTCCCTTGTTTCATTTCTGAGCATCCACAGCATCCCTTATGCGAGCCTAAAATACCTTCTCCCACCCTCCAGCTCCTCAGCCTGGATGATGCTTGAGCAAAGGACTCCTTCACATTCCTCTGTGATCCCACAGCACTGGGCCCAGTGTCTGGTCCATAATAAATGTTAGCTAAAGATGAATCATCAACCTAAATGTGAAGCCTAAATAGAACTAGAAAAGTACTAAACAGGAGAAAATCTTTGGGATCTTGAGTTCAGCAAAGATTTCTTAGATAACACTAAAAAGCATGACCCATAAGATAAAATTTTTAAAAAATCTGATAAGTTAGACTTCACTGCAATTTAAAACTTCTGGTCTTTCAAAAGACATTATCAAGAAAATGAAAAGACAAGCCACAGATTGGAAGAAAAGCAGCTGCAAAACACAAAACTGATAAACGGCTTAAGTCTTGAGTTTATAAAGAACTCACCCAACTCAACAGTAATAAAACATACAACTCAAAAAAAAAAAAACCAAAAACAAAAAAAAAAAAAAAAGGTTAAACATTTCAACAAACACTTTGCCAAAGAAGATATTCTCGGGACAGCAAAAGAACACATGAAAGATGCTCAACATCATTAGTTATTAAGTAAATGCAAACTGAAACCACAAGGAGATATCATTACACACCTATGAGGATGGCTAGAAACTAAAACTAAAACAAAACAATATCAAGTGCTAGGAAGGATTTAGAGCAACTACAACTCCCATTCATTGCTGGTAGAAATGCAAAATGGTACAGGTGCTTTGAAAAACAGTGCAGCCATTTATTTTCTCCTTCTTCTTCTTCTTCTTCTTCTTCTTCTTCTTCTTCTTCTTCTTCTTCTTCTTCTTCTTCTTCTTCTTCTTCTTCTAGATTTCACTTACTCATGAGAGACACACAGAGGGAGGCAGAGACATAGGCAGAAGGAGAAGCAGGCTCTCCACAAGGAGTTTGACACGGGACTTGATTCCGGGACCCCGGAATCACGACCTGAGCCAAAGGCAGACGCTCAACAACCAAGTCACCCAGGTGCCCCCAGTGTAGCCATTTCTTATAAAATTAAACCGGCATTTAGACAATTCTACTCTAGCATTTATCCAAGAGAAATGAAAACTTGTTACACAAACGTTTGTAATAGGAATGTTCATAACAGCTTGGTTCATAGAATTGGTTCATAATAGCAAAAACTTGAAACAACCTGCCTGTCCTTCAGTGGTAAGTGGATAAACTGTGCTATGTCCATGTACTGAATGACATGCAAAAAAATTGATGAATTTTGTGGTACCTGGTTAAGTGTCTGACTCTTGGTTTTGGCTCAGGTTGTGATCTGAGGGTCGTGGGATCAAGCTCTCCTCAGCATAGAGTCGGCTTGAGATTCTCTCTCCCTCTGCCCCTCTAGCTTGTGCTCTCTCTCTCAAAAAAAAAAAATGTTTAAAAAAATGGATGGATTTTAAATTCATTATGCTAAGTGAAAGAATCCAAACTCAAAACTACTACTCTATGATTCCATTTATATGACATTCTGAAAAAGGCAACACTATAGGAATAAAAAACAGAGCAGTGGTTACCAGGGCCTTAGATCTCACCCTATGTTCCTCTTCAACTGGTGGTTCATCTGTATTCCTTATAACCCCTTTTATAAGAAACTGGTAAAAGTACATAAATGTTTTTTTTCCAAGCTCTGTGAGCCACTCTAAGCAATTAATCAAACCTAAGGAGGGGGTTGTGGGAACCTCCGATTTATAGCAGGTTGGATTGTGATTGGCCTGAATTGGGAGTGAGGGAGGGGTGGGAACAGTCTTGTGAGCCTGAGGCCTTAGCCTGTGGGATGTGATGCTGTCTCCAGGTGCAGAGTGTCAGAATTAATTGCTCAATGTTCTAGAAAACACACATCAGAGGGGCTGACTATAAAGAGGTACGAGGAAGTAGTAGAGGTGAGAGAACAGGTATAAATCCTGATCGTGGTGGTGGTTATGCACGCATTTGTCAAAGCTCAAGTGGGTTGAATGACCGTAATCTAAGGCTCTCCCTGCATTGGCCCACGGCCACCTTGCCAACCTCATTCCCTCCTCCCCCCCCCCTTATGCTTTCCATGCTCCAGTCAGATTGGCCTTCCACGGCCCCCAGTTGCATGGGCCTTGCCCACCTCCCAGCCTTTTTTCTTGTTTTCTTGTGTTGTGTTCCCTCTCCCCAGTCTGCCTCTCCCACCCTCAACTCCCTTATGCACAAATCTTATCCATCCTTCAAACCCCAGAGCAAACCTTACCTTTTTTTGTAACCATATTTGACTACCACCTCCCCATGTGCACAAAAAGCTGGGAATTATTTGATGTGCCTCTAAATTCCAAGCATTTTATCTGTGTGTCATTTACATTTATCACCATTTCTTGTATGATTGTGTATGTCAATATCACATATCTCCTAATTGTAAGTGCCAAGCTGCAATTGCTTTTGCATTTATGCACAGTGTCTAGATCGATGCCTTCCATGTGGTGAGTGCTCAGAGATTTTCTGTTTGATAAATTAGTGAAAAAAATCAATGGCCAGGATGACCTGTAGCAGGTAAAGTTGGTGTGGTCAGCACCCAGAAAAAATAATAACACCCAAGAGTACAGACTAGATGGCCTCTTAGTGACAAACAAACAGGACTAGCAATGTTATAACTCCACAGATACTGTTCACATGGTACACAAGTCCCCCAACCTGGCTGATCAAAATTAACTTAAATCCGGTTAAAAATACACATGCCTGGGGTTCTGAGTCAGCCCATCAAGGTTGAGTCCTATTTCTGAATTTTGAATAAGCTGCCAGTGTGACTCTGATCAGTCAAGCTTGGGACTTACCTTCCTAAATGGTCAGAAGGCAAAAACTCACCTATAGGTGGCTGATAAAAAATGCAGCTCTTGAAAATCTGTATAGAGGTACCACCTACACATGTGTGTTCATGCACATGTGGACACACACACAAGTGTGAATGGATCATCAAACTGTAATATATCCATACCAATCAATAAAGAGGAATGAACAAATGATACACAGAATAACATGGATGAATCTCAAAAGCATTGTCTTGAATCAAAGAAACCAGATGCCAAATAACTACATAGTATATGGTTCTACTGACTTGAAATGCTAGAAGCAAAAATAATGTAGAGTGATAGAAAGCTGATCAGTGTTTGCTGGGGGCCATGGACGGGAGGGGGGCTGGGAACCGGACTTCCTATAAAGGGACACAAAAGGAATTTTTGGAGTGATGGGAATGCTCAGTATCTTGATTGCAGTGGCGTTTTCACGGGTGTACACATTCAGCAAAAGTCATCAAATTGCACATTCACAATGGGAGCATCTGCCAAGATTCAGAGTCTAGGAACCTAATGATGATCCTGTCACTGTCCTTCACCCCCTATATATTTGGTCAGTCACTAAGTCCTGCCACTCAAATTGCCAAAGCTTTCCCAGATCATCCTC